GCCGGCATCGTACTTAGGCTAAAGTGCCAGAGACTCTCGGATAAACTTAGGTTTTTTGTGAGGAATGAACAAAGATTAGCACTTCCTTAAAAGCATTGGGTGAAGATAGGCATGAAACAACAATATGATTTTAGAAAATCATCGACTTTTAAATTCTTCACCTGTGAGAGGATCACTGTTATCAAAAAGACGTAGACTTTTCTGTAGAATGCATATTCGTAATTTTTGGAAAATATTAGAACAATGGATTTCTGCCCGGCCTTAACATAAGAGGATGTTGCAGAACTTTTTGTTGTAGAACTCGCTTTTTTCTTTTTATCTACCTGTTTGTTGGAATGCACGTCTGGCTTTTATAACATAGTTTAAAGTTAGTTGAGAACGATTTTTTCGGGCCTAAATGAAACATTTAAGCACTCTTCGCTTCAAATGAATATTCGATGATTGTTAAATATTGACTGATTAATCTTCAGTAAATTCACATTTATTAACAAATTACGAATCTTACATTAAATTCATGTGTGCTCGGATTTCAATATTGGGGCTTTCAATTATAAGTAGTGAAATAATCGAATGAAGACGTTGTTCCGATTATTCAGCAATACGAACAGTCAAATAAATGTGGTTTCTAAATAATCGTCAACTGGAATCATTAGATAACAGCGATTTTTTTTATTTTCGACCATGTGAGATTGAGTCGAAACGTTTCATTTAAACATGAATGTTTAGGGTCTCAGCTTTAGATTAAATATGCGCGAAGAACTTAAGCGGCGAAATACCAAAAGCTAATTTATCATAGAGTTGTGAAATATGGATGAATTTAGCAAGTGTAACTGATAATTTACGTTTTATCTGTTTTTCGCTTATAACTGATTAAAAAACCTCCATATTACCGGAGAGGCAGGAAGAGTGAGAGAAGTTTTAATTTATCTAAGCCCGATTTCAGTTCGTCGATCTCGCGAACTACGAGCTGCTTTGGAGATGGGCGATGCACTTCCAATCATAGAGACCCCACCGCTACGAAAACAGTCGAGAGGTATAGTTATTAGAGCTAAAAGGAATTTAACTGGGCATCTGTGAATTTCCAATGTAAAACAGAGGACGCATATATCATATATTCACTTCTGTCAGAACTATCTTTTACGACACAACCATTTTAGCCTTAACATCAATAAAATGCAAGTCAAATTCTACAAGATGATAAGAAA